CACCCTAGTAATATCTCCTCCAGAAATTTTCCTGAACTTTCTCTATATGCCATAGTCCTTCAACAGGCCTATTTTAACACTTCAAAGATATGACAATGTATGCCTGTGTCTCAACAAGTACACCTGAAGGGTAGGGACCATCTCTTTCATCTGTGCACCTGACATGAAAACAGGTGTTGAGACTCGATGAATGAGGAGAGACAAAATAAACCCATGATGACAGAAGTTAACCTCATCTGTCTACACTTTCAAAAAGTTTAAGCCTTAACTTAATACTTAAGAGAAAAGAAAGTCCTAAATATAAATAATACCTTTCACTCATTTATGATTCATTTCTGTTCCCTAACTCTTATCTTATAAGCACAATATCTCTAAAGCAGTATTTGGCCCTGATGAAAGGAAATATAGAATGAAAGTACAAATTTTAGCAACCCAGAGCCCAAGCAATTTTGCCACTGATTTTAGTGAATTCTGGGTGAGCTGTAACTAGCTGGTAATGGGTGGTGCACCTCTGAAAGGCTGCACTGATGATTAAATCAGATGCTTATGTTCTCTATCTTCCCCCTCTCTCAGAGGAAAATCTCCATATAAAATACAGCTAATTATGAGATTAAATAGGATACATCCAAAAAAATTCCCCCAAATAATTAAACCAGAACTCAAAATTTATGAAGAGGAAAAAAAAACTGATACGTACCACCTCATATGACTGAACGCTTTCATTGGATAGTGCAGACTCCTGGACAACGGGATGAGGAGAATAAATGCGTATGCAAACTGGGGCACGCTGACACCAGAGTAGATCAGAAATAAGGAAAAGAGCTGCAGTGTCCACTTCAGAAGACTTCTGTTCCTCTCATCAACAAGGGGCCCATGTTTGTAACAAACAGTAAAGCTGAGAAACCCAACTATCAAGACATAGCCTGTAAAAGCAGAAGAATGTAAACCTAGTATAAATATGAACTTGAAAATTTATGTGAAAAAACTGGCAGAGCCTTGACTTAGCACTAAGAGCATACCAGAAAACCTTCATTTTTGTTTTCTTCTTCCAATGAAATACAATTGAAAAAGGCAGTTAGGGCTAGTTATTCCTTCCATGTGAGATACAAGGCTGACTTTATAATAATGAATTATTATAATATATGTCTATTTTTTAGTCCAGAGTCCTAGAAAGGCAAATATTAACATGGTTGCTTCAGTCAGGAAAAAGCCTCAGCATATGTCACAGTCTACTACAAACCCTGTGTTTTATTTTTACTTTCTAGTCACAAAAGGAAAATGTAATTTTACAGTAGAGGGGTAGGGCTGTCACCCTCATAATCCAGCACTCGGTTTCAGCATGACTAATGGAGGGACAATAAAATATTCTGCATCTGCTGCTGTGATCCAATGTGAAGTGCACATCGCCTCTTATGTATTCCACCAAAAGGGTTTCATTTATATCTAAGCAAGCCTCAAGATCTAATGTCCAGTTTATAGAAAATACAGGAGAGAAAGAAACAAAGGCAAATTATACCACAAAGGAATAATCAGAGAAATCCAAAGAGTGGGACATTCTATGAGACATCTAGCTTGGTCTCTTTAGCATATTACTACGATGAAAAAAAACAAAAAACTGTTATAGATTAAAAGGAACTTATAGGACATTACAGATACGAAATGTGGGTCTGGATTATGTCCTAGCTTATACAAACCAACTGTCGAGGATGTTTAGGAAATGTGAACATGGCCTGGGTAATAGATGATTTTATGTATTATTAATTACTTTAAGTTTAATAGTTACTTAACTATAGAGGAAACTGCTCTTGTTTTTTGGAGATGCTTAGAAAAGTATTTAAGAGAACAAATTACATCAGTAATTTACTTTAAAACTACTTTAATATAAAAATGAAAAATGAGCTAAAAGCATAAAATCTTAAAGTGAAACAAAAAATTTATTGCTTTTGTTTTGGGTGAGTGAACTTATGTGAGAAATCTGGAGTCAGGAGTTAAAACAATTCTCCCATTCTCCATTATTTTCCAATTAGAACAATTAGAAAATTTTAGTTGTTAGGTTTTTTTTTTTTGTTTTTTTGATAACATGAAACAAGGAGGACAAGTGGTTTCCTAATAGCCTCTCTGCTTCAGAAAAGTCAAAATTTTCATTAGTCATTTATATTTATGATATCTCACCTTTCATATTAAATAGATCAAGAAAGAGATAAAGAGCCACATTTTAAAGAAATTTTTTCCTTACAAGTTGGAACTTAACCACAATTCAGAAGCATATGCAATCAAAAGGGGCAAATAATTTTTTGATCATTAGTATAAAAAACTAAGAAATATGTCATGCGGGAATAGTCTAAAATGAGATCTAATGAACTAAAATCACCAACTATGGGAACAAAATAAAATATTATTTTTAACAACTCTTCTTAGTTCAAAATGAAAATTTAGATGCTAGAGAGATGTGTGTGTGAAAAGGCGTCTAGTTGTACTTTTCAGCTTTACCAATAATAGAATGTATTTTTTAAAAATTTACCCACCTAATATATACATTCTGTTTTCATACCACAGCCACTTCAGATCGTCCATCAATTGGCACACCACATAAACTGAAGTAAACCAACAACCAACCATTAAAGCCCAAAAGGTGCTATACTGTGTGTGGGAAAAAAATAAACGACACAGTTTTGGGTTCATTCATTCTCATAAAAATAGAAGTAAACAAATAAACCCTTTGTATTAGACATTTCTACACCAAACTGCTGAAGTCGATTCAATACTCTCCAGTGTCTCATTAAAGGTACAGTCCATAAACCAGTAGCTTTGACATCACCTGGGAGCGTGCTGGAATAGAGACTCTCAGGCTCCACCAGAGACTCCTGAATCTGAAGATGCATTTTAGCAGGATCCTCAGATGACCTGCATGTACATTAAAGCTGGAGAAGCACTGTTCTAAAGAATAAATTTAACTCAAAACAATGCTGGCACTGCAAGTTTTAATCAGAATTAATAAATCCTCAGATGTAGCAACACTGTTATACAAATCCCTGATGATTCAGCATGAGATTCCTCAGATATGCCAGGATAAGAGAAATTTTCACTTAGCTTAGAATCAGCCCCTGTCACTCATCAAGAAAAACATATTACCTAGAAAATAAAAACATCTCAAAAAAGTATCACCAAGACTTAATACTTAAGCCTACGTACAGTAACAAAAAAAAGGGAATCCTTAGAAAAAGATACATTTTAAAGCCAGTTTATACAATGTAGAAATATAGTTTGAATTAGGAACTGTCATAATCAAGATGAATTAGTCTGATCACATTTCATGTCTATGAAATTCCTAATTTCTATTTTTTATTCATTTGCACATAGTATACCTACCTTAGGAATGAACCTTTTCACCAGCAGCAGGACAAAGACTAATGTCATTAGAATACCTAGCACAGTCCCTGAAGAGTAAAAGAAAGCAGGGCTTCTGTCAAGACAAGAAGATAAAAGCCATTTAAATGCCAAATTGTACTTTCAGTATTAAAAAAGATGTTTAACTTAATGACAGTAGCCATAAAAAATACTAAGAAGAAAAACTCAGATGGCAGTTTTAATTATATCCTATACTCTTAAAAAATGAAGTATCTCCTTGAAATTTATGGTAAATAGCTTGCCACTAACTCAAAACAAAATGTCTGAGTTATCTTCTGTTCAGAATCTGATTCAACAATAATTATTGAATACCTATCATGTAGCAGGCAATTGTCTGAGAGTTTTACATGCATTCACAGCCCTGTGAAAAGCTATCCATGTCTAAATTTTACAGGGGAGGAAACTAAGGCACCGAGAAGTTAAAGACCTTCTCCACATCAGGATCTCCTCCCTGGAGGATTCAGACTTGCACTCCAGCTTCTTTGAATCCAAGCTTTACTCTTCAGGCTATGTAAGCAACACCCAGGTTATAAGGACCATGGATGACATTAAATACAAGGAAAAGCTCAAAAATGAACAATGTTAAGAATGACAAGCTAAGAAGTAAAATATCATTGAAAGATTCCTTTTTCACAAGAGAAGGTGTAAGGAACAAAATATCCGGATAATGTGTTTATCAGATATTTGTTAAATTCAACTGTCTGTATCAGAGCCACAAATTTAGGAGGCAGCCTGAATGTGATAGAGAAAGCAAGGCATCTGGCCTCAGAAGACCTGAGTATAAATCTCAGCCTTGGCAAGAACTAGTCATGTGATGACAGATGTTTGTCTTCTCATCTGTAAAATGAGAACAATAATACAGAGCTCACATAGTTGTTAAGAGGATCAAATAATGTATATTAGCACATATGTACATAATACACATGTACATATATATTAGTATATAAAATAATGTATATTAGTACATAATACAAAATAATGCATGTGAAAGCACTCTGTAACACTTACCTATCATACTATACAAATAACTATTACTGGTTTTTAAAGCTTTTCAAGCATGATCTTCCTACATATTGTTTGCAAAACCTAAAGCAAGAACTATAAACTAGTGTGGAAATATTTAAGAGAGCATCAAAAACATCCCATATCCTTTTGGATTCACAAAGTTAAGAAAGTAAAAGTGAATACTTACTGACTCAAGGTCTTTGCATAAAAGAAGAGGAAAATGCCTGCCACAAATACAAGGAAGAGTTTGAAATCTACAACTGGAATAAAAAAGACACACACACATGAAACAAAGACTTTGTGTCAATGGAGTTAGTGAACAAAGAAAAAAGTCAATTTACTGAAATGTCACTCCAGAAAAAAATGAACCCAGAAAGTCAAGTATAATAAAAACAGACTTACTGTTTTGATTCACGTGTATTGTATAATTCCCAATAGGCTTCACAGAAAAGCACACAGTCTCTCCATATGGATTGATGATTATGGTAATTTCATTAGACTTCTTTGGAGTCCAAAACTTATGAATCACGCATTTGAAAATAGATAGCATGGTTTCCGGATACTGGCAATTATGTCTTTCTGTGATATATACAATACTTAGCAGGGCTGAACTGGTAACTTTCACCTATAAAACAATAAGGAACAACTCCATAAACATGGTAAGTTAAACTTCTTAAATCATAAGCAGAGAAGTAAAGAGAGCCCAAGACTGGATGAGTAAATAACATTCAGATATGTGTGGTGTTGTTCTGATGCCAGGGATGGACCTACACGCCCCTAAAACAGACACATTTGAAAGGGGATGTTAGTCCCCCTGAGTGTGGCTGATTTAACTCCCTCTTCTAGCAGGCTGCCATGGTCAAGGGACATTTAAAAAAGGATGAGATAGTAAGTAATAAGTGGCAAACTATTTGGTTATAAACATAATGAGTTTAGTGTTTATATCTCTACCTTTTTCCACTACGAGTGAGAAAAAGTGTTTCTTTCTTCTGAATCAGCTGAACATATGTAATTCCAGCTTCTCTCACATCTCCTGAAGAAGGACCAGACCAACCTCAAGTCCTATTCAAGTCTCACAATAAAGTACTAGCTACAATGTCAAGAAGATTGCGACAACCCAGTTATCATTAAATGACAACTCTGCTGCTGCCTTTGTCTGTCCTTCTCTATTTCTCTTCTTTGTCCAAAATTAGGACAAGCCTGAAAAGGGTAGTAAGAGCACCAGCTTTGAATCTCAGGCGTCAGGTGATATCACCTACTACTTGTCTACTTACCTCTCATTTTTCGTGGACTTCAGCCCCCGACTACTTCCTGTCATATGTCTTGCAGATTCAACATACACAGTATACACACAAAATTCCTTCCAATAACCTGGCCTCTCAGTTCCTTGAACTCCTCCCTTCTTACGCTCTTGTCCTCCACCTCCCTCAGTTAATCACTCTCACAGCCACACTCTGGACCTTGTCAGTCCCAAACTGAAGCCCCAAATACAGGTTCTGTTTCATGCATCTCACTGGCTGACCACCACCTCCTATCTTTACAGTGCCCCCTTTAGCACCCAACGCCAGCAAGCCTTGGATTCCACCACAGGTCCAGCATCTTTACTCTGCTCTTCACCTCCTTCATGTCCTCAGACCCTTCCTATTCAGCAAAATTCCATGATGCATTAGAAATCATTCCCTTACATGTACCCTTGACTCATCTGCACCTTAGTCACATGCACCCACAAAATCCAACCCTCCACCTATTCCATTCTTGCATTTGTGTCATCAATTGTGCTGGAGAAACACAGTGGTCTCATCTCAAACCCTTAACTGTGAACCTGAAAGCTGCAGGCTTTCGAACCACACAC